ACTACCCAACGCAATCTACAGATTCAACCACCACAGATCCTGCCAGGCTCCCAATACTAAAGATAGGACGTACAGGATCAAGGCTGGACTTGTGTGCTGGTGGTAGAGGTTGTCACACACCAGCGTCACCTCAAAACAAGATGCCTGCCCTGGCTGGTATGGCTCCGTTGGTTGGGCATCGTCCGTGCACCAAAAGGTTGTCAGTTCAATTCCTGGTCAGGGCACATGCCCGGGTTGTGGGCTTGATCCTCAGTAGGGGGCATGCAGGAGGCAGCCAATCCATGGTGCTTTCTGATCCATGTTTCTCTCCCTCTCTATCTCAAATCAATAAAAACATTTTAAAGTAAAAGAATATTTTTTTAAAAAGTCCTTAACCTGATGACATCTGCAAAGTTCCTTTTGCCCTAAAGGTGACATTCACAGGTTCCAGGAATGAGGACCTGGGTGTGTTTGGGGGCTGTTATTCAGCCTACCTCAAGTAGATCTTAATGCACCCAATAAGTACTTGTGAGTGAATGCCTGAATATTAGCCATTTAGTATTGTTATTGGCATCTTCTTGGCAGCCTCCTTGTCTTCAAGCCTTGCCCAAACCTCACCGAAGTCTTACCTTCAGTGAAGATTTCCTGACCCTCTTGCAACATTGCAACTTGCTTCCTCCATCACACGCCCACCCCACCCCCATCCCTTAATCCTGACTTCCTTTCTTCCCGCTCCCCACTAGCACTTTTTGCCTTCTGATGTACTGTACAATTTATTTATTACACTTAGGGGTATTTGTTCATCTTCCTCACTAGAATATAAGCTCAACGATTATATGTGGGACAAGAATTTTTCTCTTAGTATCACATATATCTTAGGGGTCTAGAACAGTGCCTGGCACATAGTAGGTGCTCAATACACAAGTGTTGAATGAGTATGTGAATGTCATTAACAAGTTTCCTTCCAGCAGCGAGTCTGGTTCTTTATCTTTCACACCTGATCGTGGCTTACATGACAGCGAAGGCATTGCCCTTGATGAAGCTAGTTGATTCTAGATAACTATGTGTTATCCTATTCACCAGTCTCCACCCTGTTCCATTAACACGCTGGCAATTTTCATCTCTAAAACACAGATGACCTCAATTTTGATTTCCACCAAAACTTTCCAAAAGCTGGTAGGGAAAAGGATGGCTTGGCTTTGGATATTTATTGAAAGATAAACTTTCCAGAATTGAGATGATTGCAGAGTTGGGAGTGTAGGCTGGCCCTGGCTGAAGTTGCTGAGGTTTGCTACCTTGGATGTACTGTTTCTACTCCTCTGCCTGGAGCTAATGAGTTTGTGGTTTCTGCAGTTGGTCAGGCGCAGGATGCCTGCTTTAGAGGGGTCTTGAGCACCTGAGGGGGCATGGTAGAGGGCCTTCAGGGTGCCCACAGGCTTCCTGAAGTTGCATGTGAATTGATGTGTGTATGTATGTTAAGGAGATTCAAGTCCATAGCCTGTTTCAGTTTCTCAACAGGGAAAGTGAAGAACTTCTGCCCTGCCCCAGCTGTGTGGATTCTGGAATTTTATGGCCCATGACATGTAGCTCAATTAGCAGGCTGTACACAGCTCAGAAAGGAAAGGCAGTAATTTGAAAGGCATGTCCTCTTCTCCTCATCCTCACCCCCTAACACGTCCCCAAGTTATTGTGTTAAAGATGCTGAACCAGGTGCAGTTTCAAGTTGACCAATCTCAGTTTTGGCAAGACTCTGGGCTTTTCTTGAGGCCTCATTTTTTTCTCAGAGGCAGAACTGAGATGACTCTACTTTCTTTGATTTTTGTGTGAATACAAAAGTGCTTCAAGGGTACAAAATGCCATAGAATTGCAAAGTACTAATGACCAAGGGAATATGTGCCTTTTTTTTTTTTTTTTGCTATGTGGCAACAGGCTGGCTTGTTCTCTACTCCAGCCATCTGTCCATCCATCCATCCATCCGTCCCATGAACATTCATTTCTTCACAACATGCATAAAAGCTACTGCGTATATGACAAAAGCTTTATGTAAAACCCTGATTCTCATAAAACTCATAAAATCATGAATAAACCCATGTTCAGAGAGCTCAGACCACTTGCTCAAATTCACATAGCTGGAAAGTGATTGAAAACCTAATTCTGCCTGATTCCAACAGTCATGCTTATCACCTACCAAAACATTCCTCAAGACAGAGAGAGAGCCACCTAGCCTAGGAGGAAGGCAAGGGGAAGGGTCTACCAAATATAGCGCCTTGAAATTTCTTTTACCTAAAATGCATGCACATAACAGATGATTGTTATAAAACTGTAAAATGCCCACACTTGCAAAGAATTCCCTAGCAATCTTTTTTTTTAAAAAAATATTTTTTATTGATTTCAGAGAGAAAAGGAGAAGGAGAGATAGAAACATCAATGATGAGAATCATTGATCAGCTGCTTTCTGCATGCTCCACACTGGAGATCGAGCCCGCAACCCGGGCATGTGCCCTGACTGGGAATTGAACTGTGACTTCCTGATTCATCGGTTGATGCTCAACCACTGAGCCATGCCAGCCAAGCATCCCCCAGTAATCTTGAAGTACAAGTGATGCTTTTGGATGGGGGTGTACCCCAGTGTAGCTCTCTGCTACAATCCCTACCACATCCCCCATTTCCCATATCAGATGTTTGTTGCTTATGTTTGAGTCTTATCTTCTGGGTTGGACTAGAAGCTCCTGGAGGGCAAGATCTGAATCTGCTTCCTCCTTTCTCCCTCCCAAGGCCTAGCCCAGTGCCCAGCATGAAACAAGTAAACATAATTATTGAATTCCTGCCTAACCAAGTCAGGTGGCCTAGGAGACACAGACAAGTACGATGGGGTCCCAGCTCTCCAGACATTTACAACTGGGCTGGAGAGGTCAAGGTTCCGGAGTCTGTTTGAAAACAATCTTCCTAAGACTGCTGGTTGGGACTGTGATACAGCAATAGAGGAAATGGTCTGTAATTAGACAACAAAGTTTCATTAAATAGGGCAAATTTTGTGAAAAGTGACAACCTGTTCTTCTGGAAAGGTAGCATTGTGTCAATTAAAGAGCACACCTTGAAGTCACAAAGTATAAATTATTGATGATGAAACCGCCATTTCCCAAGAGGGAAAAGTGGAAAGTACCTGCTCTCGATGCTATCTGTTTGCCGGGAGGGTCTCAGCCTCTGGTTGCTTGACCTTTGATGGTCACATTCGAGACTTAGCAGGGCAGATAAGCCCGTGCTCCTTTTACCAAACTTGGGTAGGTTCTGGGTTTATTAGACTCCATTCTATTCATCAAATGTGAGCTCACTGTGATGTGATGGGATATGTAATTAGTAGCTCACAAACTTTGCAATGAAGCAGGGAGTCAAAATCCTGGTTCCTCAACAAATCAGCTGAGGGACATGGGACAGAGTTTCAGCTGTCTGAGCCTCAGCTTTTCAAACCATAGCCTGGAGATCCTCGTCCTTACCCTGTAAGTTGCTGTAAAGATTCATTAATGGACATAAAGCTCCCTGCATAGAGAACTACACTAGGACCTCCATAGGTGGGTACTAGTCCCAGTGGCAACTGTAGAAAAATTAAGGAAGTGATTTATAATCTAAAGAAAACACCTGTCTACTGAAAAGACCAATATATTAGCTGATAAATGTCATTTGTATGATGGTTAGAACTATTTTTATTGTTTTTTAAGCAAATAATTACTGAGCCCTTACTATGTGCTAGACACTGTGTTAAACAATTGCATCTGGATAATCTCATTTATTCTGCACAAAACCATCCATACCAGGATCCACAACCATTCCCACTGAAGAACATGAGACTTGGTTGGCAGTTTAGGTAACGTGCCCAGGGTCACAGAGCTGGAAAGTGACAAGCGGGGTTCAAGCCTACCAGTCTGGCTCCAGAGGTAGACTTCAAGGCACAAACAATGAGACAGAAAGGAACCAGGGGAGGCTTCACAGAGGTGGTGCTGGAGCAGTGAGCAGATATTCAGACATCAGTGTCATGGGAGGAATCCAGGCAGAAGGAAAGCAGGATGAACAGCTCGCTCTGCTCAGGAGTTCAGGTGTCTGTGCAGAGGCTGTGGGATGGAGATGGAGGGGTCTAAAAGATGAGGGTCAGGAGTGAGGAGGGGCCAGATGGTGGGACACCTCATGTACCAAGCACAGGGACTACGACTTTTACTTGGAGGACATGGGGGAAATGAAGGACGAGAAAAACAGGATCACTGGCATGTAGGAAATGTAATCTATCTGCCTGTGTTCAAAGAGAAAATGACTCTGGGCGGCACATCTGAACAATTAGGCCACCTCATATTTTCCAACTAAATTACTACTTTCTAGATGTTGTTTATGTGCAAGTCTCACCCTTTCCCCTGCTGGCCAATAAGTGCCTTAAATGTTGACTCTAATTGCTTTTGTTCTCCTACAAGTGCCTGATATATGATAGGTGATTAAAAATTCTGTTAAATGAATAAGTGATTGAAAGAATGAATGAATGAATGTGTGAGTCTCTGAAAAACTGAATTTTGAGTTGTTGTTTTTTTTAAGAAATGCATGCATTTGAGATGGATCATAGACCTAAATGTGAAAGAGAAAAGAAAAGCTTCTAGAAGAAAGCATAGGAAGATAATATGATTACAAAGATTTCCAAACAGAACTAACCATAAAAGAGAAGGCTGAGCCCTGGCCAGTGTGGCACAGTTGGTTGAGCTTAGACCCCTGCACCAAAAGGTCACTAGTGTGATTCCGGATCAGAGCACATGTCCGGGTTGCAGGCTCGATCCCAGAGGGGATGTGAAGGAGGCTCACTGCTCCAGCACCACCTCTGTTTTTCTCTCTCTCCTTTCCTCGCTCTCTCTAAAATCAAGAAAACATATTTTTAAAAAGAGAAGGCTGATAAATCAAACTTCATTAAAATTAAGAATGACTTTTCTATTAATTTGAAAGGATATATGCACCCCTATGTTCATTGGAGTGTTATTTACAATAGCCAAGATTTGGAAGCAGCCCAAGTGCCCATCAGTAGATAAGTATAATAAAAAAGCTGTGGTACATTTACACAGTGGAATACTTTTCAGCCATAAAAAAAGACATCATGAATGGACCTGGTATTATGCTAAGTGAAATAAGCCAGTCAGAGAAAAGCAAATACCATAGGGTTTCACTTATATGTGAAATCTAGTGAACAAAATAAACTAACAGACAAAATAGAAACAGACTCATAGATACAGAGAACAGATTGGCAGCTGTCAAAGGGAAAGGGGATTAGGAGGTTGGGAGAAAAAGGTGAAGGGATTATGCACAAAACAAAACTCATAAATATAGACAACAGTATGGTGATTACCAGAGGAAAAGAGGCTGGGAGAGTAGAAGAGGGTAAAGCAGGAGATAAATGGTGATGGAAGGAAACTTGACCTGGAGTGATGAACACACAATACAATATGCAGATGATGTGTTAATAGAATTGTAAAACTGAAACCTATTAATTTTATTTACCAATGTAACCCCAATAAATTCAATAAAAAATTTTTTTTCAAAAAGAAAAAGATAATGTCTGTTCATCAAAGACATCAGTAGGAGAGTGAAAAGGTGAGTCACAGATTGGGAGGAGAAATTTGTTTCCATATATAAATATAATAAAGAACTCCTCCTAAAAATCAAATTAAAATTCAATTTTTGAAAATGATGCAAAACTTGAACAAAAACTTTTTAAAAAGTTATCTAAGTGGTCAAAAGCATATAAAATGGTGCTCAACATCATTGTTCTCAGGGAAATTAAAACAAGATGTCACTTCACACCCAGCAGAATGGTAATTAAAAGACTGACACCATCAATTACTTAAGGATGTGGAGCAACTGGACCTCTCACATGTGACTGGTGGGAGTATAATTTGATACAATCATTCTGGAAAACTGTTTGGCAGGATTTGCTAAAGCTGAACATATGCTCACCCTATGATCCAGCAACTGAACCTGGGCACAGCTACAAGAGAAAAGAGCGCTATATCCACCTGATGACTTGTTTAACCCCTTCTCCAACAATTTTTTTGTTAAAAACGTTTCTTTTTCAGACTAATTTTTTTATTTTGGTTCTATATAGTATTTTTGATGCTGGTTATGAAAACAGTTTGTAATTATTTTTTCTTCCCATTTTTGTGGTTAAGAATAGTATTTCCTCAGAAAGTTTCTAGATGAAATTATTTAGAATGGTACGTATGTAGCTGGTTTTTGAAGGTAAAGTTTTAGACGAGTATACTCGTCGACGACTGAAAAAAGAACATTTTGTGAAAACGTGTATACACGTTTCTGCCGGGGAAGGGGTTAAGGATGTTCATACAGCTTTATTATAACAGTCCCAAACTGGAAACAATCCAAATATCCATCAACAAAAAGTGGATAAATTGTGGCATATTTGCACAATGGTATAGTCCCAGTAATAAAATGGAAGTATTTCAAAGACCCTGTATTGAGTGAGAAAAGCTAAATGCACAAGCAGCAAAATGGAAGAATTTCAAAGATGTAGTATTGAGTGAAAAAAGCTAAAGAACAGTAAAAACTAATCAATAGCAATATTGTCAGAGCAGTGGTTTCCTTTGGGAGGTATTGACTGGAAATGGACTTGAGGGAACCTTCTCGGTTACTGGAAATGTTTTTTTATCTTGATCTGTGAATCACTTGGTGATTTCACAGGTGTATCCGTATGGAACAATTTACTGCATGATATATCTCAATAAAGATGTTTTTTTAAAGATTTTTTTAAAAAAGAGCCCTGGCCAGTGTGGCCATCTGGTTGAGCATTGTCCCGTGCACCAAAAGGTTGCTAGTTTGATTCCCAGGCAGGGCATATTCCCAGGTTTCGGGTTTGGTCCCCAGTTGGGGTGCTGACAGGAGGCAACTCACCTCCATGTTTCTTTCTCTCCTTCTCACTTCCTTTCTGTAAAATCACTAAAAAGCATTTAAAAATGTTAAAGTTAATTAGTTTCAAAACTTGCTGGCTAAAGAGGTCTAACATATTTCAGAAAATATCAGATGAATTTAAATGTTAAAAAATAAAATTAAAGGCTGGAGCATGAAAGAAAAGGAGTCGAATGAGATGTCTAAAGGACTGGAGTAGGAAATTTAAATGTCAGATGGAGTTAGAAAATAAATTAAGTTCACCTAAAGCCTAGCATTAATGTCAGGGAGAAACAAGAAGTGAGGTTGTCAACTCAGACCTGGAGAGGATGTAGCTGGTAGGGCCCTGACTGTAGAGGTGAAGAGACTAGATTGTTTACTTGAAAGTAAACTAGAAGCTGGGCAAGAATCGTGATTGATAATAAACATAACAACACTTAGCATTTATTGAGCACCTACTACGTGCCAGACCCTGTTGTCAGCACTACTCCTATCCTCTCATTTAATCCTCACAACCACTCTCTAGAAGTTATTATGATTATCCCAGTTGTACAGAGGAAGAGACTGAAGAAGGGGAATAACTTAATCAGAGTCTCCAAGGATAGAAGAAAGAGGGGAGAGGCAGTGAGGAAAACCAATAAATTAAAGAAACTCAAATGACTTCACAAATGTTTAAACAGATCTAAGTGTATTGGCTAGAATTTTAGGGGGAGGACAAAAATTCACTATCTTTTACATGCTTTTGGGTATATAAACAACATCCAACATCCAAATCAAATTTACAGAGTACAAGTGCAAAGTGGTGTAACTTTAGGAAGTGAAATAAAGTTTCTTGCACTGGACTTAGTTTGGAAGACATTATTGGGGCAACCTATGCCCAGAGCTGTTATATTGTAACCTTCTAAGGTTTGGAAGTTTCCTTTCAGGTCCTTTGAATCATTCTTGATAATTCATCTTCCTGTAAGATTGGTAATGTCAGGTTAGACAGCAAGGGATGAAAAGGTCCAGTAAGCTTTTTCTTTCTCCCTCACCTCCCTCTCTTCCTTCTCCCCGCCCCCTCTCCTCTCTTCCTCCCTCTTTCTTCCTTCTTTTCGGTGTGTTTATTGAGTACATATTATATCCCATGCACTGTTTTAAAGGCTGTGATAAACAAAATAGTTCCTGCCAGACCTCATGAAACCTGTATTATAGTAGGAGACACACAATACATAAACATGTATAATATTAGGTAGTAATTAAATGCAATGAAGAAAAATGAAACAGGTTAAGGGGAGGCATTATACAAGATAAGAGAAGGCCTTTGTGATGAGATGACATCTGAGCTCTGATCTAAGTAGAAGGAAAGAGCAAGCTATGAGAATGAGGAAAGAAACTTTCGGGCTGAGAAATCAGCTGATGTATAGGCCCTGGGGTGGGCATATGCAAGGCCTATTCAAGGAAGAGCAAATTCACCCTTTTGGTTAGTGCATACAGAGGGAGAGGAGTGTTAGGAAACAAGGTCACAGAGGAAGTACAAGGCCAGATCATATAGGATCTGTAAGGCATGGTAAGGACTTTGGATTTTTTTTTTCTTCTAAGTTTGATGAGAAGCCATTGGAGGGTTTTGCACTGGGGAATGACAGATTAACCCGATCTGATTAAAGGGGTAAGAGGAGAATCAGGGAGAGCAGCTAGGAGGCTATTACAGGAGTCCAGGTGGAGTTAGCATCTGGACCAGGGTGGTACTGGTGGAGGTTGTGAGACAAGGCAGGATTCAGGGGACAGTCCATAGGAAGAGCTGCAGGGTTTGTTGGTGAATTGGATGAAAGGTGTGAGAGAGAGGTCAAGATTGCCCTTAAGTTTCTGTCCTTTGGTGCTGCCATTTATTTGGAGAATGATTAGGTTTAAGGGGTAAAATCAGAAGTTTAACTCTGACATGTTAAGTTGCAGGTGTTGATTAGATATTCAACTGAAGATGTCAGGTAGGCTGTTAGCTGTACCAGCTTGGAGTTCAGTGGGGACTTATGGAAAACAACATCTTAAGTAATCCCTTATAGATAGAAAAATCTCAGTTCTCCTACCCATTCACATGTATTCATTTGGCAAGTATTTATTGAGCACCTAACTATGTGTCTGGCATTGTGCTGGGTGCTAAGGAGTATAGCATCGATTTTGACAGAAACAGTCACTACCTTCATTACAATTTGATTAGTTCACTGGTTTCTGAGACACTTCTCTGAATATTGTATAAATATAAAGAAGCAACTAAAGAGTTATAAATACTGAGATGTTCTCTGACTCAGCAATTTGGAAGAGCTTACATTTTTGGAAAGAAATGGGCTACATATAGATTTGGATAAATGGCAGATTTACCCAATAAAATATATGCAGACCGCCTTAAAATGAATCAGAAGAGACTGTCTCAACCAAATTAATGTTTACAAAGAGTCAAGTTGGTGTAATGGAAAAGCTTACAGAGCTGGGAGGCAGAAGCTCTGGGGCTGTCTGTTCCGCCCAACGAGGTCACATGTATGACCCTGACCAAGCTGTGTGCTCATCTTAAGTTTTCTCTTCAATAAAATGAATCCATTGGATTTGATGACTTG